TGAGATGGATCGATTCTGTGAGTGGAGTGGTGGGAATGAATGTGTTTGAGACAGCGAGGTTGGCACAGGATAGAACGGTGTTTAGGGCTCTTGTATATAGGGTTGCTATGAGTCGCAAATAACTCGATGCCACATAACAACAGAATAGAAATTTGTATTGTGTTAAGCCACAATAGAAAACCAAACACCTTGAACTAGAGGTACAAGGAAACAGAAGAGAAATAACACATGATTTCCCCCTACTCTCTTCATAGTAGGAACCAGAAGTATGCCAGAATTAGAGACTTTGCTTGGAATTTGCCTACAACTTGGTGCCCAAGGCTATGATTTGCATTGCATTTAAACAGTTACTAATGAGAGTGGAAAATAGTAAATGCACCATCAGTTCAGTGATTCTTAGAATTTTGTTCTTCATCCTCCATCCATTTGCTATTTTTAGTTGTCCTATGATAAGTGAAGCAGTCATTGACCAACTTTCAAATGGATCGGTAGCAACCAAGAATAATAACCTTGGTTTGGAACAGGTGTGTTTTATTCTTTATTACTGACATCCTTTCTCTTTAGAACTTTGGAGAAGTCCTTGATAGCAGATTTCCTCAGTGCCACATGTCTTTTGATTTGTTGTCTGCTGCTACCAGTGTTTATTATGAATCTAAGTAAAATGAAATCCTTGACAATTTCAGTCTTTTCTGTTCATTATGTTGCCCTAATGACTCAGTAGTGAAGATTTATTTTCTTGAGGTTGAAAAGCAACCCATATTAAAGGCTGTCTCTGGAATGCTGAAGAGCAATGATGTCAGCTTGAAGACTAAGGTGTACCTGACTCAGGCCATGGTCTTTACTATTACCTGCTACACACCAGAGAGCTGGACGGTGAATGACAGAAGACAAATTGATGTCTTTGAGTTGTGGTGCTGGAGAAGGATCCTTTGGATGGCCAAATGAACAAATACATATATCTTGGGAAGGGTGTGGCAAAGTGCTCCTTGGAGGCTAAGATGGCAAAGCTTCACCTTTCATACTTTGGTGTAGCTAAACGAGGCAGTTCTTGGAAAGGGAAATCATGCTTGGAAAGAAGAAAGTTTAGCAAAAGAAAGGAATACCCCCAACAAGATGAATTTACATGGTGATTCAGCAAATGGTTCTAGTGTGTCAGAGATGAGGAGGATACACAGGATAAAGCAGAGTTCGGGGTCAATGGCAACACCTGACAACAGTGGTCTTTGATTTTCTGCAGTAAATGCTTCATGTCTTCTGTACTTAAGCAAGCAAGGTTTTTTCATCTGCATAATGCAAATTGTTGAGTTTTCTCCAATTCTGATACCACATTCTTCTTCAAGATTTTCAAATTATTTGCTCAGCATACAGATTGAATAGATACGGAGAAAGAATAAAACCCTGTACACCCCTCCTGATTTTTAAACCATGCAGTATTTGTGTTCAGACAACTGCTTCTTGGTCTAAGTGTACATTTTGCATGAGCACAGTTCTGGGATTCTCATTCTTGTTAATGTTGATCATGTGTCATTGTTATGATACATATATTCAAATGTCTTTTGTATAAAACACAGGTAAACATCTTTTTCATCTTCAGAGTGGTCCAGTAAGGAAAGCATAGTTTATTTTAGCTAGGGATTTTGAGGCACAAAAATACTAAATTTTATTTGTCCATGGTCACCAGCCAGTAAGTGGTAGAGATGATGTTCAAACTCAGTGGATTGGCTGTAGCTCTTACTGTTCTCTCTCAGACCTGCAGTTACCTGGCCTGCTGTAGTTACTGATCCTTGGCAATGGGCACCTGGGTTCTCTCCTTTTGCCCTTTTATAGACAGTGCTTCATAGGCATACTTGTACATATTTTATTGACTGTGTCTGAAAATACTGCTATCATGTGATTAATTGTACTTCGTCACCTGAAACTTCTGTGTTTCCGAGTTACCTTCCCAAGAAAAAGAGTTGCTTGCTCTCCCAGTAGTTCTATGAGGGTGACATGTGTTAGAGAAGAGCAGTAGAAAATTTTTCCTGTCATGGGTTCCAGAGAAATAGAAATTAGGTGTTTGTAGGACATTTTTAATAATTATTTATGCCCTAGGTTATAGTTTTACCACTCTTTTTTTTTTAAAGAAATGAAGTCTTTCTATAGACTTAGATCAGAAATAATAGTGAAACAGCCCTAAGAGAGATGCAAATTAAAACAACTATGAGATATCATCTCACCCCAGTCAAAATAGCAAAATTTAACAGAACAGCAAGCAAGCAACAAATGCTGGCGAGGTTGTGGAGAAACTGGAACCCTGATTCACTGTTGGTGGGAGTGTAAAATGGTGCAACCCCTGTGGAAAGCAGTATGGCGCTTTCTCAAAATGTTGCAAATAGAGATACCATTTGACCCAGCAATTCCACTACTGGGAATATACCCTGAAGAGACCATAGCTGACATCCAAGCAGATATATGCACTCCCATGTTTATTGCAGCTTTGTTCACAATAGCAAGGAGTTGGAAACAACCTAAGTGCCCATCAACAAACGAATGGCTAGAGAAGCTGTGGTATATTCGCACAATGGAGTACTATGCTGCATTAAAAAACAAGGAACTCATGCAATATTATTCAAAATGGTTGACTCTGGAGAACATTATGCTGAGTGAAATATCCCAGTCACAAAAGGACAAATATTACATGATGCCACTGTTGTAGAATGGGACTAACCTCGGGGTTGGGGAGAGACTGAGTAAGATGGGTTCAATAATGTATACTGCACTGAAACAGAGGAGGGAGAAAGCTGTGTAAAAGAGATATGTGACTAGGTATTTCTGTCATCACAGGAGTCTAGAGCAAGGGCTACACGGTGGAGGGGACCTGGGGGAGGGTTTGTAAAACAATGAAAGAATCTTTTCTTTTACTTTTCCATAATTTTTGACTCATGTACTTATAACTTGTTAGTTAAATTTGTGTCTTCTAGGTTGCAACACCCCCATGATACATCTTCAGGGATATGAACATGTACGGCTAAGCACAATTAATAACAGTGCATCTAAATTCCAAAATCAATCTCCATAATAGTCTATGTGTTTCCTACTGCCAAAGGGGCCCTTTAGAGTAGTGAGAGAAGATCTTCACCCTGAAACCCACAGTGTCCCTTTTCAGCAGGAAGTAGCTAAGAGAATACGCCATCCCCTTTTCCTTATGAATCAGGGTTTAGTCTCTCTCAGGGAGGAGTGATAGGGAATGGCAAAGGACACACCGACAAAGGAGATTAATCAGAACTGACTTTGACAAGCACTGTGGCAATTGGACAATTAAAACAGACATTTGGATGGCGGGGAAGAACAACAAACTGGGGAGGAGGGTAGAGAGAATGATGAAGGAATGAAAACCCAAAATCCCTGTAAATGTTCATTAAAACTAATAAAATTTAACAAAATAAAAAAAAAAGAAAAAAATAATAGTGAAATAAAATATTCTTTGTTAGGTAGTGTGAAAACCATATAAAATTGATATTTTCTTGTTGATTTATGATTCATTTTCTCTTTTCCAGAATTTCGATTCCGACATTAGCAGTGTGGGAATAGATGGCTGTTGGCAGGCAGACAGCCAGAGGCTTCTCAATGAGGTGATGGTGGAGCACTTCTTTCGACAGGGAATGCTGGACGTGGCGGAGGAGCTCTGCCAGGTAATCTGTGTACACCTGGATATGAGAGAAGAAAACCACACAACTGCTTGGACTTGACATCATTTGCAGGCTGGATTTGAGTCTTCTGCTAACCATAGAGACACTCTTAATACTTCAGGGCTGACCCCATTTGAAAAATAGTCTTTTTCTAGTTCTGAACTGAATTGTTCTTTCTTTGTTCCTGGCCTGGAAAATCCCATGGCATGAACCAAGGGAAGTCAGATATGATAGCTAAGGAGGCTTTAGTATGACACAGAAGAGGGGCAAAGAAGTCAGTATTTGTTTTTCTGATCTGGCTGAGCTTATAGATGTTTTTCAGCTGAATTTCAAGTTAAATTTACTTCAGGTGAGCAGTGTTTGTCTTTTATTTCTACTGGACATCAGATTAGGAGTTAACGAACAACTTACTAGCACTACCTTGACATTACTAGTAATACTTGCTGTTTGTTGAATGTGGAACCACAAGCCAAATCCTACTATTGTTTTTCACTGAAGCCCACTAAGGCAGAAATCATTTTGAATCTACAAATGAGAAATCTAGGTCCAGAGAAGTAACTCATTCAAAGCTCCACAGCATCATAGTGAGGCAGCTGAGATTCAGCCCCAGTACTTGTGAAATCACCATGTGCTTTTTCATACCTCTTTTAGAAAATAGAAAGATTGTACTAAGTAATGTGCCTCCAGAAGTTCTACGTACTAAATAGCTTCAAGCCAGTCTGTAAACCTGACCTTTCTGAATATAAGCCTTTTGTTTATAAAGAATTCAGATAAATGATAACTCAGGTTTTTCTCTATACTTTTAAAAGGTTTAGTATTTGTGTTCATGTCAATATTCTAATGTAAACAGTTAAATTAGTTTGCAAGTATCAAAGACCCAGAATATCCATAACTTAACTAAAATACAGTTTATTTCTTTTCTGTACGAATCAGAGGTAGTAGGTAGCTCACAGCACGAGAGGGAGTGCTGCCCTGTGAGTAATGCTTGTGGGTCCCACACACTCTTCTCTGTGGCTCTGCTCTCCCGGTGTGCCTGTGTCTTTGTGGCTCAGCCAGAGCTCCAGCCACATCTGTGGATCATACAGGGCCAAGAAGTGAACACCCACATTTCCGTGGTGCAGTCCAGCTTTACTCTGCATGGTCCTGCACCAGTTAAAATGGTGGGGCTCTTTTCTGGTGATAGGGAAGGTTGATACTCATAAGCAGTCACTAGTTTCTTCTTTAGAAAAACGTGTTGAAAGGATGTTATTTTCATTATTTACACCATATTTAATACTCTAGAATATACTTTTAAAACTGTCTCTTTACTCTGATTGTTGTTATGTGTCAAGTTGCCTGTGACTCAATAGCGACCCTACGTACAACATCTCTGAAGCCTGCCCTATCCTGAGTCAGTCTCACTGACTGACACACTTACCCCCATTTCCCTAATTACTGTATCAATCCATCTCATCCTAGATCTTCCTCTGCGGTGCTGTCCCTCCACCTTTCCAAGCATGACATCCTTTTCCAAGGATTGGTCCCTCCTGGCCACGTGCCCAAAGTATGTGAGACTAGGCTTCAAAATCCTAGCCTCTATAGAGAAACTTGGTTTCACCCTCTCTAAGACTGACCTATTTGTTTTCTTGGCTGTCCATGGTACTGGTAACAAAAAATTCTGTTTGGTTTCTTTCCTTTTTTTAGGAGTCTGGTCTTTCTGTAGACCCAGGTCAGAAGGAACCATTTGTGGAGCTAAACCGAATATTAGAAGCATTAAAAGTCCGAGTTCTGAGGCCTGCTCTGGAGTGAGTTACCAAGTTTATCTTCTACATACTAGTAGAGAACTTTTAAAAATTTATGTTAGAAAACACATAAGAGATGTTTAGGTGTATTTGTCTTACCAAAGTAAACTTTCTTGAAATCACAGGAGTTTTATTTTTCTCCTTTGAGTTAAATGAAGTACGGGTGATGTATCAGGAAATGGTGAGCTCTCACTTCATCTGTGAGTCTGACTTGCCATGAGAGAAATTAATTTCCTGTGTCGAAGCTGTGGTACCATTGTGTTTCAGATAGCTTTAGATCGATTGAGCTCTTATTCAGGAGATGCTGATTTGATATTTGAACTTCTATAGTGTGCTGGGGTTTGTGCTGCATTTTAAAAATATAAATTGATTGCCTTTGGAATTAAATGGCTTTCATGAATAGAACAAGTACTATTATAAAGGAATGTTAGCCTTGTTGTTGCTGTTGTTATGTGCCATCGAGTTGCTTGCAACTCATAGCGACCCTATGTACAACAGCCCTAAACTCTGCTCTGTCTTGTGCCAATCTTACACACCCATCCTGATTACCCCAGTCACTGAATCAATCCACCTCATAGGGGGCCTTCCCCTTCTGAGCTGTCCCTTCACCCTCCCAAGCTTGATGTCTCTCTCCAAGGATCTGTCCCTCCTTACAACATGTCCAAAGTATGTTAGACAGAGCCTCAGAATCCTTGCCTCCAAGGAGCAGCCTGGTTTAACCTTCTCTAGGATGGATCTGTTTGTTTTCTTGACAGTCCATGGAACATTCAATACTCTTCTCCAGCACCACAGCTCAAAGGCGTCAATTCTCCTTCTATCCTCCCTAGTCATTGTCCAACTCTCTGATGCATAACAAGTGATAGCCAAGACCATGGCCTGTATCAGATGCACCTTGGTCTCCAAAGAGACACCACTGCTCTTCAGTACTTTGGAGAGGTCCCTAACAGCAGACTTTCCCATGGCAGTACGTCTTCTAATTTCCTGGCTGCTGGTGCCGAGAGTGTTGACTGTGGAGCCAAGCAAACTGAAGTTGTGAACAATCTCAATCTCGTCACCATCCATCCTGATGCTGCCAATTGGTCCAGTGGTGAGAATCTTTGTCTTCTTGACATTGAGCCTCAATCCATATTGGAGCCTGCAGTCCTTGACCCTCTGCACTGAGAGCTTCAGGTGCCCCTCAGTTTTAGCAAGCACGGTTGTATCATCTGCATATCGTAGATTGTTGATAGATCTTCCACCAATCTTGACCCCACATTTCTCCTCATAGAGCCCCACCTCCCGGATAATCTGTTCTGCATACAGGTTGAAAACTTATGGAGACAGAATGCATCCCTGGCATACGCCCTTCCCAGTTTTGAACCATGCAGTGTTCCCTTGCTCTGTTCTGATGACTGCCTCTTGGTCCAAGTGTAGGTTTCTCATTAGCACGATCAAGTGTTCTGGGATTCGCATTCTTCTCAGAGTCAGCCACAGTTTGTTATGATCCATACAGTCAAATGCCTTTGCATAGTCAATGAAACACAGATGTACATTCCTTTGGTATTCCCTGCTTTCAGCTAAGATTCATCTAACATTAGCTACAATATCCCTAGTACGACGACTAGCCTTGTTACTACTGTAAAATTTGATGATTCACCATGAATGTGTCACTGATAAAAATTATCTGAAATTAATGAGTAAGCTGTGAGAAACACTATTCTAAAGCAATTAGCAAATGGGCTAGATAGTAAATATTTTAGGTTTGTATTGTTTCCTTTGCATATTATTATTTTTTTTTTTTACAACTCTACTGAACAATGGAAAACTATTCCTGGCGACTTGTTGTATGAGAAAGGCAGTAAGACTGTGCTCTTAGTTTACTGACTCTTGTCTTAGTTTCTTAGTGTAATGATTGCCAGGTTGTTTGTAAGTAAATACTCATAAAGAGAAGAAAGTGGATGATTGAAGAAGCATAGTCTTAGAATCCTGGTATTTAAAACTGGAAAGATATAAAGATCAGTATTCCCAGAGGGGAAAATGAGTTGAGAAGATTCTTCATAATTTTATATATATATAATGTATGTTATATATAGATTTTGTATATGTTATATATTTCTTCTCTCCTTAACTTCTCTTCTACCAACCTATTTAGTGTTTTATGGGTTCAGTTTCTGTTTCTGTTAGTTTCTCATGTCTTAGAAAATTTTGCAAAGCACTAGAATAAGCCCAGATGAACTGGTAGATGTTCTGTATAAATTTATAAGTTAAAATTTAATTTGAGGTAATTATTCTGTCCTTGGAGATAGAACTCATTAATCAGTCTAATTTAGTAAGATTTATATTACTTTTTATAGTCTTCCCCTTGTTGTTGTTGTTATGTGCCGTCGAGTTGTTTGCAACTCATAGCGACCCTATGTACAACAGCCCTAAACCGTGCTCTATCCCATGCCAATCTCATTGCCTCTGACACACCCATCCCGATTACCCCAGTCACTGAATCAGTCTACCTCAGAGAGGGTCTTCCCCTCTTGCGCTGTCCCTCTACTCTACCCAGCATGATGTCCCTCTCTAAAGACCTGTCTCTCCTTACATGTCCGAAGTATGTCAGGTGAAGCCCCAGAATCCTTGCCTCCGAGGAGCAGCCTGGTTTAACCCTCTCTAGGATGAATCTGTTTGTTTTCTTGGCAGTCCATGGTACATTCAATACTCTTCTCCAGTGCCACAGCTCAAAGGCGTCAGTTCTCCTCCTATCCTCCCTAGTCATTGTCCAACTCTCTGATGCATAACAAGTGATTGCACAAACCATGGCCTGCATCAGGCGCACCTTAGTCTCCAGAGAGACACTGTTGCTCTTGAGTACTTTAAAGAGGTCCCTAACCGCAGACTTTCCCATCGCATTATGTTTTTTGATTTCCTGGCTACTGGTGCCAAGAGTTTTGCCCTTAAGAAGAGTTTAGATTGTGACACACCTGGGAGAGAAATTCAATCAAGTGTCATTGAGATCTCTTAAAGTATGACAAGCACTCTTCTGTGTACTTTGATACTTTTACATATATGATTTAAATAAGGGGAAGTGTTACTACTACTACTCTCTGCCTTTGAGTCCGACCGACTAATAGTTGACCCTCCAGCAGGTTCTCAGAGGCTATAAATTGCACAGGAGGACATTTCCCATCTTTCTCCCTTGGAGTGCTGTGCAGTTTGTGGATTTGAACTGCCAGAGAAATACTACTTAAGTTCAGCAGTGCAATTCCTAAATGAAAGTGAAAGGGCCCAAATTCAGAAATGTTATGGGCTTCCCAGTGATTTTTATTTTGGTTTTATTTGTTTGTTTAATAATATTTTGTTAAGATTTTGGTGAAAATTTATACTGTTGGGTTCCCTTTTGACAGGTTCTACACAGCTTGATCAATGACATTAGTTATGGTTTTTTCCCACAGTGTGTCAGCGTTCTTATTGTTTTCTTTTGTAATGACTGAGAAATTTTTCTGTTTATTTCTTGAGATATTTTTGGGGTTTGGTTGTTGTTGTTGTTTTAAATCAAGCTTATTATGTACCTACTACCTCCCAAGAAAAAGTGCTGTGAATTGGTTCTGACTTGATGGGACAGAACAATAGGAACCCTTCGAGAACTGTGCTCTCAGAGTACTTAATGCTTTTTGTTTGGAATGAGGACAATTCAGAAGACCTTTGAGTTTTGGTTTTTACTGAAAACGGTTTTTTAATTATTATGTCATATCTCATCAAACTCATATCAAGCCCAGTGACAGAGCTGAAACTCCTACTTTGGCTGTGATCTTTATGGGAGTAGAGAAAGTGGCCTTTCTCCCCAGATATATACTAGTTATTTCTGTAAATGTTTCTTTATAACCGTGGAGAGACCCTGCAGGTGTAGTTCTCTTCTGCGTTTTAAGGTTTAATTCTTTCTACTTTCTTTGCAAAATCTTTGAACCTGAGAAGTGATTTTACCAAAGATATCCTCAAGATGGCAGCCCAGCCCTTGTTTTGTATTACTGGGCTTCTGACAACTATCCTATACTCTTATTTTTAAATTTTTTTTCCCCATTGCGCCCTCTTTTTTTTCCTTCTTTTTTTTTTTTTCAGATGGGCAGTATCAAACCGAGAAATGCTCATAGCCCAGAACAGCTCATTGGAATTTAAGCTACACAGATTATATTTTATTAGCTTGTTAATGGGTGGAACCACAAATCAACGAGAAGCATTACAATATGCTAAAAATTTTCAGCCATTTGCCCTACATCATCAAAAAGGTGAGTCTGGACCTCAGATCCTTTCATTGTTTAGATCTAGGCTATAGCCACCACTAGAACCTTTTCCTTACCAGAGCAAATACATTATTTGCTAAAAAATCAAAAGATTCTGTATTGAGGAAAGAAAAGAAAGAGCAAGGCTTACAGTTCCCCTCGTCCGTTATTTTATCTGTGTGTGTCCTTCCCCACTCCTTCTCATGTCTCATGCAATGAGTTTCTGAGAGTTGTAGTCGTAGCCAAGGCTGCGTGATGGTTTCAATTAGGGCATAAGTGCTTCTCTTGTAGATAATGGTAATTATACTGCGATGTGAATAAAAATAAAATCTCTTTAGGTTTAGTATTTAGTGATTTCCTTTTTTTTTTTTTTTTAATACTCTCTCCCCTGCTGCTGCATTCTTTTTTTCTCCTTTTCCTCTTCTGAGATTTGGATTGAGAAGAGAAGCTGAATTTAGGGACTAGAATTTTAAAAAACAAAATTGATAATTTATTTTAGGCTGTACTAGATGGAGGAGATCTTTTTGTTTTTTCTCCACCTTTTACCAGTAAGCAAGCTGTGTCTCAGCAAGTTGTGTCTCAGGTATAATCAGTCTTCCCTCATCACTGTCTATCTTGTTCAGACATTCAGGTTCTAATGGGAAGCCTTGTGTACCTGAGGCAGGGGATAGAGAACTCGCCATATGTTCACTTGCTTGATGCAAACCAGTGGGCCGACATCTGTGACATCTTCACACGGGATGCCTGTGCTCTCCTGGGGCTGTCTGTGGAGTCTCCTCTCAGTGTCAGGTATGAGATTCAGCTGTTTGTCAGGAAAACAGACATGGAGGAATGCCTCTTGTGAGCTCATTCTTGATGCAGGGAGAACTTTATATCATCCCAGGTTTGCAGGTGTACCTTAATAACAAAAATGTGAATGATAATTACAAGAAGTCTTAGTAACTGACAGGACAGAGTGTTTTAGGATAGTGATTCTCAAAATGTAGTTTAGGATGATAGAGAGCCCTCTCTCCACTGTGCTATATTTGCACAGATGACAAGAAAGCAATGGTGTATAAACGGCTGGTTCTTCAGCCAAAGACTGGGACTTAGGCCAGATTAAGTTTCTCCATGGGTGAGGTATTCATCACCACTGTCTACTTGCATTTGTAAAAGTGCTAATTTCACTGATGAAACATTAAAAATTACTGCATTTTGAGCAGTACTACTGTGATAGATAACAGCATATATAGATGACACAACCTTGCTTACTGAAATTGAGAAGGACTTGAAGTATTTGCTGCAGAAGCTTAGAGACTACAGCCTTCAATATGAATTATAACTCAACATCAAGAAGACAAAAGTCCTCATCACTGGACCTGTAGACAACATCTTAATAGATGGAGAAAAGATTGAAGTTGTCAGTGATTTCATCCTACTTGGATCCACATTCAACATTGTTTATACCAGCCATCAAGAAGTCAGAAGGTATATTGCCTTGGGAAAATCTGTAGTCAGGTTCTTCTCCACCATATTGAAGAGTAATGATGTTACTTTAAAGACTCAGGTACACCTGATCCAAACCATGGTCTTCTCAATTACTAGCTATGCATCTGAAAGTTGTGACAGTGACTAAGAATGACAGAAGAAGAATGGATGCCTTTGGATTGTAGCGTTGGAGAAGATTACTAAATGTCCCATGGACTGCCACAAAAATGAATTGGTCTGTCCTGGAGAAAGTGAAACTAGAGTGCTCCTTAGAGGCAAGGATGGTAAAATTTCATCTTATTTACTTTGGGCCTGTTGTTAGGAGGGCCAGTCTTTCGAGAGGGACATCATGCTTGGAAAAGTGAAGGGTCAGCATAAGAGATGAAGAGCCACAACAAGATGAGTGACACAGTGACTAAGAGTGTGCTAAAGTGTGATGGTGATGGCACAGGATAGGGCAAGGAGCTGCTGTTCATAGGGTTGATAGGAGTTGTATTTGACTGAATGGCACATAGTAACAGCAACTCTAGTAGACAAGTCCTTTGAATACATTTTATAAGGGATATAAAACTCAAGTATGATGTCATGTGGGTCTGCTAAGAGAAAGAATAAGAAAGAGTGGTATGCCATATATATTGTTTAGTGAACGGCCTAGTGGAGTTCATGTCCTTTTGACTGAGTGGTCTGATGTCCAGTGTGGCATTGACATTTATTCTGCTCTCCTAGTTTCTCAGCAGGTTGTGTGGCCCTGCCAGCATTAATTAACATCAAAGCTGTGATCGAGCAGAGGCAGTGCACTGGAGTATGGAACCAGAAAGATGAATTACCCGTGAGCATGGTTTTATATTATCTTTTTATCTTTCTCGTTAGAAGAACATGGGTGTTCGGAATTTATAATATCCATCATTTTACCTTTTAACCAGGAACCACTATCATAGCCTTTTGCTAAGGTTTCTTTCATTTATGTATATATATTGAGAGAGAGAGAGACAGTGTGTGTGTGTGTGTGTGGGGGGCCACTAGTGGGAAGAAGCTATGCTGCAGTTCCAGTGACTGTGTGTGTGTGTGTGTAGATATGTACACACATATGTACATAAATATAAAGGGTTCTTGTGTATGTATATATATATATATCCCTAGGGTTCGTGTGTGTGTGTGTGTGTATATATATATATTTAGGGTTCTTGTGTATATATATATATGTGGAGTGTTCTTTTTTTGTGGTGGGATCAGTCCTTGGAGAGGGACGTCATGCTTGGGAGGGTGGAGGAACAGCTCAGGAGAGGAAGACCCTTAATGAGATGGATTGAATCAGTAGCTGAGGTAACGAGGATAAGTGTGTCAGAGACAATGAGAACGACACAGGATAGAGCAGGGTTTAGGGCTATTGTACATAGGATCACTATGAGTCACAGGCAACTCGAAGGCATATAACAATAACAACAACAACATATCATTGGCTCTAGTCTTAAGAAGAGTTTCAAGAAGTTCAGCCAAAAAAAAAAAAAGTAGGTCAGCGAGCCACTCCCACACAAGTAAAGAAATGTACCCCACAAATGGGGGTAGGTGTCTCAGAGACAATAAGGTACAGGATAGAGCAGAGTTTAGTGCTATTGTACTTGGGGTCGCTTTGTGTCACAGGCAACTCGACAGAACATAACAACAACATACATATTTTTAGGGTTTCTCAGTGTTGGTATCTATTTAGGGTTCTTGTATGTGTATTTAAAGTTCTTGTTTATGCATCTGTATTAGGGTTCTTGTGTAGTTATGTGTCTAGAGTTCTTGTGTGTATATACAGATATTTACAGTTCATGTGTGTATGTATACATATTTAGAGTGTGTGTTATATATTTATAGTTCATGTATGTTTATGTATTTAAGGTTCTTGTGTTTATATACACACATACACATTTAGGATTCTTGTATGTGTATATATATTTAAGAGTTCATCTGTGTGTGTATATCTTTAGAGTTTGTGTGTGTAATATTTAAGGTTTGTGTTTATATATAGACACAGTTAGGATTGTGTGTGTGTGTGTGTATCTGTAATGTATATACATATACGTGTCTGTACATAAACCTGCCGTGCTAGTCCAGCACGCTCCGGTGACCCTATGTATAGCACTGTGGCCTCCAGGGTTTCCTTTAAGTGGCTAGTGTGTCAGAAATGGATCGCCAGGCCTTTCTTCCAAGACAGCACTGGGTGGACACACACTCCCAACCTCTGCTTAGCAACCAAGGATAGAACTCTTTGCACCACTCAGGGACTAATATACCTGGATAAACAAGGTAAAACAGAAGATGTCAGTGCATTTTGGAGACACTGGCATTTTCTACAAAGTAACTATCAGTTGGATGTCTTAAAGTAGTCATAAAAGCTAATGAAAGAAAACTGCAGAAGTGGGACAATGGAGTATACTATAGTATACTGTGTGTTCTACAGTATGCACAAAACATAAGTTTTTTAAAAAAACTTAAAAGCAATGAGTCATTTCATTAAATTGGATTTATTTAAAACATGATTTTGCACTAGTTTTAATTTTTTATAATACCAACTCAATTAAAGGCTTACATGTTTAAAAAAAAGATTCTTTGACCCCACAAATCATTAGATGACTGCTTTTGCTCTCTGTCCACTGCCATGATAGGAACAAAGGACAGTGGAATGGGAAAAGCCAGTTTACAGTCACTTGCCAAACCTTTAACTTGTCAAGGCAACAATCTGTTCCATTTCTAGAATGGGGTCCGTCCACCTCTTTCCATAACTTTGAAGGATAGGATAGCAGAGGTGTTCAGGGAATAACACTCAGTAGGTACTCGCTGTTTGAGGCATGCAGGAAATAACACACAGGTGGCCTAATGTCAAGGAGCTGTGTTGCAATACCGAAGGCATGCATTTTTAATGTACCAGCTGCTTCGTGGAAGGATAGACTATTCCTTCTTGTGTTTTTAACTGCCTCAGAAAACTTGCTCGAGTGTCAACCATGGGTCGGTTCCGAATCAGTGGCACACCACCACCACAATAGGCAGTCAGCACATGAGTTATGCAGAGAGTAACACACAATAGGCAACTCAATAAATGAGATATACAAGACATGACACACACAGTAGGTACTTGGTACATGAAGTGTGCAGGGAATAATATACAGTAGGCACTAAGTACATGAGGTATGCTGAGAATAACACATAGAAGGCACTTAGTATGAGATATGCAAGGAATAACACACACAGGCACTCAGTATATGAAGTGTGCAGGGAATAACACACAGTAGGGACTTGGTACATGAAGTGTGCAGGGAATAACACACAGTAGACACTTGAGACGAGGTGTGCAAGGGAATGACATAATAAGCACTCAGTACATGGGATGTGCAGGGAGTAACAGCACACATTGAGTATTTCATACATGAGGTGTGCAGGGAATAGCACAGTAGGCACTTGGTACATGAATTGTGCAGAGAATAACAATACACTGTAGGCATTCAATACATGAGCTGTGCAGGTAGGCACTTAGTATATGAGGTGTTTAGGAAATAGTGCACAGTAGGCACTCGATGCATGAAGAGTGCAGGGAATAACACAACACACAGTGTCGACTCAGTACATGGTAGCTGCTAGTACACAGCTCTGGCACTAAATAGCTGTGGCAGTGTGTTAAAATTCTGCACCCCACCAGCTCTCTGACAGCAGTCACTAAAACTACCTGTCATTGTCATGGTCGTGGCTTTTGTCAAGGTGTTGTCGCAGACCTCAAATGACTTAAACATATAGTTGGCTTTCTGTTTCTCGCTGCCACACCTGCCCACAGGTTTCTCAGCAGTCACTTTGTTCTTGCAGCCCTGTCAGTTGATTGCCCAGCTTCCCCTCAGAAATCTGAATTGATTAAAAGTGCAGGGAGTGCTTGGTCCTGTGTGTGGTCAGAATGCAGGCTGTCTTGCTGCCTGTCTGCTGTGAGCTTAAGCACTGCCCAGAACTCTAGCCTGCCTCCTGCTGCCTGGGGTAGGCATCTTCAGGAGTCTGACAGCTTCTCACTTACATTAGGTGTAGCCCCCTGCACAGCAGAACCAAACAGATTCCAGTATGAATGCACTTCAGGCTTGTGTATCAGGCTATTACAGCAACCAGAGTTGATAGTGTCTTTTTTTAGAATTATTGTTACTCTGTTGATTCTCATTTTAAAAATAGACGGGGGTGGGGGTTGGATGGGAAAGAAACCTCTAGAACTTGTATTTGTGGAGTGTCTTTGATGTGTTGGATGATTTTGTTTCCTTGTGTAGTTTTGATTCCTACAGAGGGAAATTACTTACAAACTTTACAGTGGACGGTTGCTGTCCAGATTGTGAGAAGGTTTTCTTTTAAAGCCTTTTCTTCTCATGATTCCTCAGCACCAGAGATGCCCTTAGAATCAAAGCTGATGAAATTGAGTCT